AGGAAGATTGTTGGACGAGAGGGTTGATTGAAGTCGTACACAGGGAATCAAAGTCGCAGGAGTGACTTATCAAAGTGCGCCCAAGTGAGTAGGGGAAAGCCACGTGTATAGGCCAGAGGAGAGAGAGAGGGTGAGAAAGGGAGAGTCGGACTGCTGCGGACAGGGCGATCCGACAGAGCGTCGTCGTGGTCCGAACGGATGTTGATGCGAGGTGATTTCTGCTATGGCTTGGAATGACAAAGTGAAAAGATTCTATCGAGCGCGGGTAAACGGCGGAGATGATCCCTCGTCATTTAATTAGTGACGTGCATGAGTGGATTCATGAGAATCCCTCTGTCCCTACCTACCACCTATCTACCATCCCATGGGACCACAACCAAGGGAATGGGCCTGGGGGAATCGACGGGAGCGGCGCCTCGTCACCTGGCCAGTGATGCGTTCGAGTAGGATTAAGGAGATTTCCACTGTCTCAATCGATCATCCTGTAACTTAGAAGCCGTTACAGAATTGACACGGAGTTGTTAGAAATTGAAAGTCAAGAAAACTTCAACACTCGATGCAATGAGACACCGAACAACAATATTGAACTCTCGATTTCATCACTCGATTTGTGTGAGCATTCAGTCGGACCTATTTTACATGGCATTGTGACAGCCATTTGGCAATACATAAATTGGAACTCAATCGAAGAGCAAAGGCAATTACACGGTAAATGAGATGCCATTGGCTTAATTATGGATTCCGTCGCACTTCGATTATTTATGTACTAACTTAAAATACGTAAATTATCAAACATTGAAATTCAAGAAAACGGTGAACGTAATGAGACACTGAATGAGAAGGTTGTGAATGGCCTCATAGTCTACATCACACTTCGATTAATGTTGTATACCACTTAGCATTGAGTCATACGTATTTTACATGACATTGTGACATTATGAATTCTGTCGCTCTTCGAGAAATTATATAATCATGAAAAATTAATTGTCGAAAAGTGTATGCACACGTGCGAGAAATCATAAACACAAGATCGAACTACGTCTAAATTAAATGTTACGAGCCATCTCAAGATTGAACTACAACTATATCAATTGCTACGAGCGACCGTAATCCAAACTTTAAAAAAACTATCATTTACAAAAGCATCTACAAGCATCCCCGCGTCCCATGAGAACCAAACCTGTATAAGACATTCATTGCCGACCCGAAAACAAGAGTTTGTGGCTGTCCCTTTGTCGTCACGTTCGAGAACAGTGAAATGTATTTCATCGTTACAAACCTACCAACACCTGCCAAGGACTTACCGATGGCGTCACGCACACAACGTACCACTTGCTCTACCTCATGCCACTTGTCAACCTCATGAATTTGACCGACAATCTCCAAATCGGACTGTCCGTTCTCATAGAGAAGGCGCAAATTCTTCATATTGCGACCATTGATTCTAAGCTCGTTTCGAGAAACAAGCACTACAGCGTCTACCAAAGTTCGTTTTCGGTTCGAACATGCCACACACAACACTCTGCAGAAGTCGGATCCGGCCAAGGATAACCGTACACAACAGTATGACACATTATGCGGCCGCGTTCCTGCACCACGCAGCGGATATAGTTCCAAAAACTGATTGTAGGATGCACAGTCCAACAACTCTTGTTTCAAGTTTGCGGACCACACGCGAGGTAACCTAGTGACGTTCTCAAGGCGATGGTAAAACCGGTTATCCTCTTCCTGTCTGAGTGTCGTGCGCAGAGACGGAAGTTGCCTCACGCCGATGGCATAATGAGGTACTTTGATTAGGTTCCCCCACTCCATCGCGGAAGCGAACTTGTACTCCTAATGCCATGGACATTTCCTTGCCAAAATCAATCCATCCCATTCTGCCTCAGACCACGCATCGAGAGGCTTGTCGAAGAAAGGGACGACGCTCATCCACGGGTCGTTTTCGAACTCCGTTGACATCTGCTCGAGAGTTTAGGTATCGCCATCCACACCATGCAATCCCCATGCACAAGGGTGAATGGGATGCGAATAATCATGCTAATGGGCCATCACTCATGTCACACTCCCTACACAAGATGTGCCATCGAAAACAAGTATCGGAAATGAATTGTTGAAAAAGTATAACAATCGCCTCCTCGATAAACTAAACGTCCAAAATTGCTTAACCATCACCCAACCATCTTATAAAAATCATCCCAAGATCGTCGACAAAATAATTTCGCCAGTTTGTCCTGATACCGAAATCATCGCAATTCACTAAGCTAAAAAATAATATGATCCCTTCCCGGGTCCGTCTTTCTATAATGCACAAACTCCACGATGAATTCCCACCGTAATTAACCTTGTCCGAACAGTCATTTCCGTAAATCCTATTCGCTCACGTATCGGTCAGACTCACAAGATCTATGACTTGCACTCGTTGCTTTTGTCCCCTGCATCCACTTCAAGAGATGGACTCAGATCTTGAAGTGTGGCTTCAACATTCAATCGAACATTGGAAGGGATTACAAGTCGAGTTGTGAACGATTTTGTACCTCTGGCCGGTCTCTCCCAACCAAAAGCGATCGAGTCGACATGTTGTCATTGTGTCCGCTCAGTCATCTTCCATCCCTTCTCCCATGTGTTATCATACAGTTCTTCGAGCGACTTTGCTGTCTTAGTCGGCACCCAATACTCCACTAGTACTTGATTATAATTTTGCGAATTTTTTTCACCAACCACCCGAGAAAGTGCTTTGCCCACCCAGATAGGTACGCCGCTGGACAGATCGTCGTCGGATGGGCGAAGGATGAGAAAAGTGCCCACCGTCAACATGCATGATGGGGTCGAAACTTGTCTTTGGACGATCTTTTCTTTGTCCAACAAACAAGGGTTCCATGTCGTGGATGTTGGTCAGGGTTGTCGAGCCCCCGCCTCGGGGCCCCGATGGGGGTCCGGGGGTCGGGGGGTGGGCATCCCCAACCCTGGCTCCAGACCTCCTCCCCCCCCAAAAAAATAAAATAAAATAAAAAGAATGGTGGGGGGTGCGCAGCGAGAGCGCGCACCCTGTGGCCTAAACCCCGAAAATGGGGTTTTATGCCCCACCCCGGACCCCCCCCGGGGCCACACCCACCACTGGAGGGACCTGGGTAGCTCAGGGGCGGGGCCAACAGCCAGCGGGGGCGGGGTTGAGTGCTGGCTGGGGTGGGGGTGCGGGGTTGAGTGCTGGCTGGGG